CCTGAGATGCTCAAGGCATTAGGCGAACAAGGCATGTGCTGGCTAACATGTGTCTGTCAAACTGCGATGATTGCGGAAAAGACACCAGCGGACTGGAGAACGGGAGTTATTGTACCCGTATTCAAGAAGGAAGGCCCTCAAATAATCTTCCAATTATAGGGGCATCACGATATTGAACCTCTCAGACAAAGCCTGCGCAAAAGTGCTAGAAAGGAGGTGCCGAGAAATAGTTGACCTTTGGATCCAACAGGAGCAGTGCTCCTTCCGTCCCGGTCGAAGCACCTCTCACCATATATTTTCCCTCTGCCAGATTGTTAAGAAATCTTGGGAGTACGCCCATCCGGGGTACAATTGTTTTGTGGACCTAGGCAAAGCGTATGACAGGATTCCACGCAGCAGTCTGTGAACAGGCTTTCGTCCATACAGGATAGAGGGCCAGCTGCTAAAGGCCATCCAATCACTGTATTCTGATAGCAGGTGCTGCGTCAGAGTTAATGGCGTTAAGTTGAAACCATTCAACATTCACACTGGTCTCCGCCAAGACTGCGTCCTGTACGCTATCCTGTTTGTGTTGTACATGGATAGAATGGTCAGGAGCTGCCAAGGCGATGACGGTATCGGTGTAGGAGATGTGAAGTCGAGAAGGTTGCTGTTTGCAGAAGACGTTGCTTTATTAGCATCTTCTGAAACTAATCTTCAATGCTCCCAGGAAAGGTTCGCAGCTGAGTGCGACGTGACCGGCATGCGTGTGAACGCATCTAAAACGGAAAGCCTAGTGTTTTCCCGTTCCGCTGACAGTTTATCTCTTCAGATTAACGAAGACGCAGTGGAGCAGGTGGAGAAGTTCAGGTACCTCGGAGTCGTATTTACTAGTGATGGAAAATTGACGGTAAAGATCGATCACCGAATTGGAGTAGCCAGTGGAGTTCTGCTTGAACTATCCCGATCATTTGTGACTAAAGCTGAGTTCAGCCTGCAAACTAACCTCTCGGTGTTTAAGTCGGTCTTTATCCCCATGCTACCTACAGTCATGAATTATGGACAATCACTGAAAACCTTTGAACCAGATTAAAAGCTGCTGAAATGGGCTTTCTTAGTCGAGTCGCTGTCCTTACGCGTCTCCCCATGGTTCGGAATACTGACATCCAGAAGAGCCTTGAAATACAGCCTATGCTTTTTCAGATTGAGTATTCACAGCTGCGACGGTCTGGGCATATGTCGCGAATACCTCCAGAAATGAAGGCTATTCGAGTGTTCCTTCAAATGAGACTGGCAGAAGGCTCAAGGGACGGCCGAGATTAACCTGGTGCAAATACATGGAAGGAGTCTGCTTCAGGCTCTTGTTGTCTTTTGCCGAAGCTTAGACTCTGGTACAAGATTGGGAACGTTGGAATCTCTGTCTGACGCGTCTGCCTCCGCGACCCGAAAGGAAAAGCGGCGATGGAGGATGATGATGACGCATTTTAAATAGCTTTGTTTTAATTTAGAAGATGCACAGTTACTGTTAAATTTGGAGATCGATCCGCAGCGATTTTGCATGTGAAGGAAGTGACTTGTGGGATGGCTAAAACCTTGTTTTGAATGAAGGGCTATGTTTCGTTCACGAAGCCGCCGATTTTCTTTCATGCACCTTTGAGCGATGTGGCGGTTATGACAAGGGCGCAAGTGTATGATGATGAGTACATGTAGCACAATTTAATTACGATTTAGCTACGTGACGGGAGACCCTATGCCTAGTTGATTTTGTAAATTTCTCCCGGTCCGTCAATTTTGGTTTTTGTAAGCTCCGCTATGACTGGATCCACGCACTCCCTGTATCCGAAGTGAGCAATTTCAATAATAAAGTCTAAAATATCTGTTTAGAGAACTAATATTTTTGTGCAAAAAAGCCAGTGCCTAGATTCCTTAAAACTTTTCTCGAAGAGCGCATCTTCTTCACCATCATCAGCATTTTCCTTCAGCGCTTCTCCTTTCGAATCGGGGACGCAGACACGTCAGAAACTGCTCATCGCACGTCCGAAAGGGATCGAAGAACACATACTTCTGAAAGTGTTAGTGGCCGTTTATAAGGTATTCACAGTTGCCGTCTTGGACGAATGGGAACCAGATAGCATTGGCCAAATGTTCGTTCGTTCGAAAAATTCGATTTGCAATAAATTGCAGTTTTGTATTTTTCTCTCATGCTGGTAAGTATGGAGTCAAAAATATTAATTCATCCATTTTATAACGTTACTGCAGGCCAACGGAAGGAGGCAATGGGAATACGATATATAACGCAGGTACACATTGCTGAGGCAAAGTCATTGAACATAAGCACGAATACTAAATGAATTTTTTGTTCAAATGAAAAAATCAAATTGCATTTATTGTTCCGGATAAGCTCTTCAATTGCATGTATTTTAACGGCTTAGATTAGAAATCTATCGATATCAGCAAATCTATTGACAGTTGCCACTGCCTGTCGCTTGAGTCATACCATGATCGATGATAACAGTTACCCGTTGTACCCAATGTTTCAACTCCAACTGTCCCTGCATTAAGGCACCCGCAGGTGGTTCTACGCTTTCCCTACTCGAACTACCTACGTCTGATCCACTCTGCGTTTCTTGACTCTGAGACAGCCATAGCTGCAAGAGCAATTATTCGTGCATAATGTTCAGACTTGACATTAACATTCTGTTTAATCCTAGACTAGCGGATGCACTTATGCTTATATCAAAAGTCGCTGCACAAGCTAATAAAAGTGACTTGGTAACGTGTCTATAAATGAAAGTACACTTCCGTAATATATCTAATTATTTGCTATTCGCTTTCCTATGACACTATAGAGGCAGTGTGATCACCGTTTTACTGTAACCCAAAGCATTTAGTTGGCTGACGGCAGAAGTAGTGTGCTATGTCACTTGCTGGTTTACGTAAGCAGTTGAACAAAGCCAATCAGGTAGGGTTGGTTTGCTAAACAAGTACAAGTGTACAGTTAATTGATATATGCATGTCTTTAAGTATGTCAGTGAACGCGTTGGTGCTGCCGAAGCTACAAAGCTCGACGACACGTATCACGAAATGGAGAGAGTAAGTTACTGATGTGTCCGTGTAGAATGTCATATGTAAGATTTTTCGATTGTTTTTCGCAGAAATTTACCCACCCAGAAATAAATTCTTTGCTAATTTAAGCTCGTAGTGATGTTAAATTGGTTTGTATTCGTTAGTGATATGTCGACAAGCTATGACATTTCTATTTCATGGAAGTTCGGATGGAGTCATCAACTCATCAATTGTTTTGACTTAACGTTTAAATTTTAAGTTTAAATTTCGATCTAAGTATCGATCATGGGTGGATTTCATGCCCGAAGAGCATTAACTGGGCTGAGAAAGAGGATATCGGGAAGACGGCAGTTCGTGAATCTGCGTTGCTGCAGATGGACTTTGGAAGATTCCTCACCAAAGAGGGTCTTCCATCATAGTCGTCTCTGGATTCGTAAATAGTGTTATTGACATTTCGAATTGTTCAGAATCGATAGATAATCTCGGTGTTTAAAGGACTGCTCGTTCCGTGGTCACAGAATCAATGCAGCCTGCCTGGCCAATGCGTTTCAGTGACTCGCCCGTACCGCGTAGATTCGTCGTTTCTCATCGTCTCATTTAATTGATTTTTAAACACTGCGTATCAGTCTTCTGTTATCTGTCATGTTTGCGCCCACATTCCCTCATTTGCTTTGTGTGTGCAGTTAGCGCTCACACTGAGTTAAAAGCAAGATTGCGTTACTGAGTGGAGAAAATGATCAAGCTTTTAGGATCAGCGGCCTCGGAAAGCTGTAAATATCGCGCAAAGCCAGATGACGTTGAATGTCGCACTGTATACTGACTCTGCTTTTAAACGGCGATACACTGTATTTACGACTGGCATAGTAACAAGTAGAATGCATATTTAATGATCGGTTAAATAAAATTTGCATTCACGTACCTTAACGTCACGCCTTATCAGTGTACGTCATATGATTGGAACTGTTACGAGCACAGTCCACATCCACCTGATTCACTGTTTTGACGATGTAAACAAGAACATGCGGTTGACAAAATATAAAGTTTTTGACTTGTACGTTGGTGATTGTTCTAAAACTGGCGTAAACTGGAATATTATGTATTCAGAGTGGTCAATCAAATGATTGGTCGATACTAACGTTTCGATCGGCGATCGGTGTCTCACAGGCTATCTTCAAAGTAATGATGCTGGTAAAATAGGAAGATCGTTTCTGTCGTATGCAAATGGTTCTCGCTCTGACCTTATGATCAGCGGCAGACTTTCGGAATGACTTTCGAACTTACCATACACCTTTACCTTGAATATGACCGGAACGTCTGTATCGGTGAATCTAATGATTGACGATCCTTTGCGTTGTGAATAAAATATACCTTTTTTAATAAGCTGACACTTCGATGATTCTAGACACAAGGAAACAGACAAATGGCAGTCTACTACAACTGCCGAAGTTTCATCCAATCTACATTGGCCATTCTTTTGATAAACAGGCAGTCAAGCTTGTTTATGCTATTTTTAGGCAGACAGTGTATTAATGGTACAAAGTACTAGCTGGAGTCGAATGTTGTCCATGACCTCTTGACCGAAGAAAACTACACTGGTCAAGGCCTGTGGCTTTGGATGATTCGAATCGCGGGTTAGTGCTGGTTCATAAAATGGCCGAAAGGAGCATGTCATTGAATCGCACCATGAATCGTCAACACTTTTTAAATATTAGATGATAAAGATGTTTTCATGATGAAAAGATTTCACCGTCCTTTCTTCAGATGATTTGTAGGGACATGGGTTCAGTGGGCTTCCCTAATCCTTCAGTTTGAGCTTGTAATCCGATTTTTGACAACTCGTGATTACCATGTTCTCAATATTAGAATTTTTCGGAGTTGATAACATTTCGCCACGGCTTACCGTAATTCGTCGAACAAACCATCTCCTGCATTCGTGTTTACTCGCTCTCAGCAGACAACGGGCGTCGTCTTCGATTTATAGAGAAGTAAGGTGTAAGACCACACTATTTACAAAGCAGTAACGGGAACGGATTAAACTTAGCTGCCATTGGTAAATTAGCTAAACTTGGCTGTACCTGAAATTGGTGACATGCTGTTTGGATTAAACGAATGTACGATCTACTGCTACTAGGATCAGTTTAAGGTCATACTACCCCGGAGTATGAAGAATGTGAATTTAACAACATTATTATATCTATATAAAGGATTCTGATAAAGATCTGTGAAATTGCGCGCGGTAAGGCTTTGTGGTTGGTGTTTAGCGATTATCAGAGCATAATGGATTCGTAGATGCTTTCATATCCGGCGGAATGTAGTCCATCTAAGCTGTTTCGTCAAAAACGCAGTTTGGTGCTGCAGGACTGTCTAACTTATGATATCTTGATTGTTCTGGGTGATTTCAGTGCGGAAGCGAGAGTTACATAAGGGATTTTATAGACTCCTGGAATAAACAACACTGGGGAGATGAATGACAGCGGTGAACGAATAGTGTAGGTCTGTGCACAAAATCACTTTGAATTCATCTAATGTATCAGCGGGAAACCAGATCGACCGTCTCCGCGGCCATCAGACAGTATCAAGAAGTTGTTTGTGAGCGAATACAGAGGAGCTGAATGCGGCAGCGATTATGAATTGATGATGGATAAAGATAAAATCAAGCCTCAGTCCTTGACTAGCAGCCAGAAATCTAGCGAAAAGTTTGAACTCGATCATATGAAACATACTAGGTAAAGATTGGTGATTCAGGCTACTTGTGGGTTGTAAGGCGGTATATTGCCATTGTGCTTGTGCTCAAGTTATTGAATTTGTGTAGTCAGCGATTAAAATGATTAGATTTACTCGGTTTTTGAAGTTTACGTACGAACGTTTTAGAATCTTGTCAGGCGTTAAGCATTTATACATAGGCTTCTTTTCACAATGATGAATCTTGAACGACGGTCTTCTGATAGCTATGACAGATATTTCGTTCGCTGAGTGTTTGTTATAAACTCTAGTTTAAGTGTGAACTGTGCTGTGACACGTCTATAAAATTTATTTTTAGAAAGTGGATGCGACGTCTGAACTCATTGAAGATGTTATCGCCAAAACGAGGGAATATCTTCAGCCTAACCCAGGTCGTGTCGGTTTTCCATTTGTTTTACATGCATTTCAATCTAAGCTCACTGTGACTTGCTTGAGTGAGTCTTTAATGAGCCAAACATTTTAAAGTGTGTTCACGCGTCTGTAAATTCCTAGTCTAATCGTTTCCGGAATTTCACTCATACAAGCAAGTTCAGTCTTGTAAGCGACTGCTGGTTAAAACTGATATCAGAGATAAATTTCGTTCTATTTTCTGGTAATTTTAGCTGTCAGAGCGAAAATGGCCACTGTGAGTACGATTTCAAAGCTGCGCGGTACCGCGAAAAGCACACCTTATCCGCAGCAGGAAGGGATTTTGGCAGATGCGATGCTGAAGTACGGCCGACTGCTGGGGGAAAACTCTTATTTTGGTTGATCGTATGAAGTCATTCACGATGCATTTGTAAAACTATTGCTGAATTTTAGGTAAATCCCTCATGGATGCAAGCGAGACGTTTAAGTCGCTGGCAGATATAAAGTATGCCCTGGAAGACAACGTTAAGCAGAACTTTATTGATCCTCTACTTCACCTTCAGGCAAACGATTTGAAAGAAGTCATGGTAGGAACGGATTTTGATGTACAACATGTCCGCTTAACTACTCCACATTAAATTTAATTTTAGTTGACATTGCATGTTAAGTTTAAACTGCTTACAGATCATAATTTTAAGGGGCATTAGAGTTCGCTCTCCTGATTGCGAAATGATTTGTGGCTGCGGCATCCAATGATTTCACGTGAAATATACAGACAGTCAATCGAATATTAATAGTACTGAATTTTAAATGTTCTGTCAGAGCAAGTCGTCATGAGTCATACTGTTATGTGGCACGCCAATTATCGAAATTTCGGCGTAATTTTCCCCGATTGGCTGGGTCTCCTGTTTGCATTTATGAAAGTTAGTTCTTATATTCAAAGACAAACGTAAAAGTCTTAATTATTGCCTGCATTTCTCGTTTACACTCTCATGGTTGGCTCTGTTTGAGACTTCTTTCATGGAATATATCAGCCAGCGCCGATGTTCGTTACGATACTCGAAATATTCCAAGAACGCTTTATTTTTGAAAGCAGTGTTTCTACCTAGGCTATCGCTTGAGGAAACTATCTGCTTCCTTCACAAGTGTCGCTATCGTTGTGAGCTATTTTGTTACCTATGCGCGAATCGGAATCCTGACTAGGCATGCCAATTTGCGCAGCTCTGCTGTTCAAAATAACTCGCCTGAGATGATGAATTTGTGCAGCGAGCAGTTTTGGAGGTCTGCATTAACAAGCACATACCGAACAAAGCGGTCCAATTGAAAAATACAGTAGCTCATCTTCTGAACGTCTTCGAGTGGAAGTTCTATTTTAACTAGTTTTTGCAACACTATCCTGAGTTACTTCTACGAGATCCACAAGTTCTATAGTAAAATGACTTTTAATTTTTCAGACAGACTTCTGTAATAGATGTTTTGAACATATAACAGTAATTAAACCGTGTGTATATGTGAAATAGCTTGTCACTTCGTTGTTCGTGGCACTTACGAAAGAACATTGTCTAGACAGTAAATTCAGCCATATACAAAATGATCTTGAGTTGCTCCAGATAGATTAACAAACCAGTCAAAGCCCGCTCCTCTTTTTACCAGATTTGCTATGCCTATGAAAGAATATTATTTGATGGATTCATTTGTGCGTTGTGTTCTGTTGTAGGAATTCATATATACTAAATATCTTAGTAGATTGGTATAATGTAATTATGATTAAATATCTGTTCAGAAATATTTATTAGTCAAAAAGTTAAGTGTGGGCAACTTAACTTCACTGTTTCCGTTGTAGCATCATCGAAAAAAAGTGCAGAGTCGGCGTCTGGACTACGATTGTAAAAAGCGGAAGCAGATTAAAGGTACCTAATATTTTGTCAGTTTTAAAGTAAGCTTTATTTTTGTAGATCAGCATTCGCAAACTGTACAGGGTAAGTTTCATTCAAAAGTTAAATAGAATGTTGTTAACTGACATATTTTGTTTTAAACGACTTGTTGCGCTCAGTATTTTCATTGAAGCTGTAACTCGTGAGTTTGCTCGAGTGACGGATGTGCGTTCAGCAGTAGTTGAATTTTCAGTCGTTAAAGTCTGCGAACGATTTTCATCGCTTGTGTGAACTCTGTTCAAACCTGATAAGAACAGAACGCGTATTTGCGCTGTATTTAAAAGTAATGTGTGTTTTAATTGATATTTCCGTGTACGTTTCGTATTATTTCCGTGCCCTCTGATCGTTTGTTTTCGATCAGCTGGTAATGGTAAAACTAAGCATTTGGAGAGAGAGAGAGAGAGAGAGAGAATAATTCTCATTGTTCGAACAAGACATAAATCTACGTGGAGTCTTGCTGATGGGGCATAAATGCGCATTGCAGCTTGAACAGATTATTGAAAGACCTACTGAATGATAGAGGTAGAGTGAAAGTTTAGATTTAAAAGATTTGTATAATCAGGTTCATTCCTTTCTGTTCCCGTTGTTTAGATGCCCCTGTATCTGGCTCATTCTTGCATTTAAAAAATGCTGATGTTAGCTAGCGCTTCTGCTTTCTTCACTGTTAGGTTTCTGCTTCTAGCGGAGACAGTAGTTGATACAATTGTGAGATATCCATCAATCCACGTTTTATAGCATAATCTATCATAATATATATCGATGGACAGCTTACCGCGAGTATATTCTTGATATTTTATCAAGTAGTTGTTTCTGCATTACGCTCATTTTGTGTGCGGGTGCTGCATGTTCCAGGACAGCGCATGCCTTTATGCCATATATATGTAGTCGGCCGTCATCAAAATTCAAATTTATTGCTGCGCTGACCTCGCTTGATGGCTTCTTTTGGCCACGTAGAGTGAGTAGAGCTGAACATTGTGCAGCGATGCATCAGAGCAGTGAATGCGCCAAAAATTGTGCGCCAGCATCGATAGAGGCTACTCTTTTCACTGCGCGAAAGTAGATTAACGCTGTGAACTTTGTGTAAGTTAATAAACACTAATCTTGGCAGAAGAGTAATGTCATTTTTAAACAGGCTCATTTCAATAGTTAAAGCAACAGGTTAACCCTCTTCGTTACCGAAATTATTCACCATCGAACAGTGAGTCTTCTTGGTGCGACGTTATCAGAAACGTCCACTTAAAGTTTTCCATGAAATTCTCATAAAGTGATACTCTGACTTACGTTGGCTGTTTACTTTTAATAATAAATGAGCAAAATTTTAATTAAAATGTGCATTTACTTGGCAACCCTACGCGATGAACGATTACGTACTACTGTGTCTAAGTATTTCTGAGTCTCTCCCACCTGACTTTAGAAATTAAACTGCTAATTATTCAGCTTTTCGAAGGCGGATTTAAAGCTTGCGATGTGGCTATGCAAATGAACCTTGCTCAGACCACTGTGAGGAGTGTAACCAAAGACAAAGAAAGGATTCTCACAGAGGTGAATAATGCCTGATCACTTAATTCAACAGTTATTTGAAAATGTCATGGACTTCTTTCTGAAAAGGAGACGTTACTAAGAGTTTGGTGTGATATTCAAGTTAGAGTGAAGAGCTGTCTTGTAGATCAAAATGCCATGTGCAACGAAGCCAGACTGATCATTCAAAGGCTAAGGAAGGAGTCTGGAAATAACTAGAAGGAGGAAACTTGTATCCAGCAGTGACTGCTTCAGCAGATTTAAACAGCGCTGTGATTGGTACAGCAGTGTAGGGATTGGCAAAGCGGCGAGTGCCGATAAGACCTGCTCTTTCTTTCCCTGAAAAATTGAACAAGATAGTAGAGGATGTGCAGTATTGCTCCAGGACCATTATCTTAACGAAACGGGGTGCCTAGAAGAACGTTTATAGCTAGTGAAAAATAACGTTTCCTGGATTTAAAGCGGCCAAAGATCGGTCGGCACACTGTGATACTTTTTGTGAATGCTGCCGATGACAGCAAATTGATGCCATATCTGATCTGTTGGTCGGAGAATCCTAGTACTCTAAAGAATAAATCGAATGCTTGCCTTCCAGTGATGTTGAAATCCAATGCTAAAGCATGGGTCACTCTCTTTGAAGACTCGTTTGGCCCCCATTTTATCCCTGAGACCGAGCGTTATTGACGCTCTCAGAATCTTTAAAGGTGATACTGATTTTCGAAAGTGTTCTAGAGCACCCTTTAGCAAACCTGATAGACTTTGATCTTTTAATGAAAGTGGTGATTTTGCCTAAAAACAAGTTTGATTCAACCATTGAACCAGGGTATGATTAAAACATTTAAGACTTACTCTACCCGACGATCCTTTGCCCATTTGAATGCAGGTATGAAACAAAGTATTTAGATGTTTGTGAATGGTTTATTGAAGGCTTTCATTGTTCTGGATACTGTGAGGATTATAGGAGACTTTTGGGCTGAAGTTTGCAAAAAAAAACCACGAACAGTGTATGGATAAGGCTTTGTCCCTTCTGATTTGGTCATAACTTGATGACGGTTCCAGAAATTGATTACGTTGCTGAAGAAACAAAATTCGAGCACTTACTTCAAAACTTGATTTGGAGGTTGATACTGAAGTTGTCATGGAACTGTTTTACTCCCATGACGAAACTTTCACAGTGGATGATGTAGAAATTCATAACCAAAATGCCGTCGAGTCAGCTGAAGAGGCTGAACCGGAACGGATCATCACAATGACAGTCTAAAAATTAAGTGAATGCCTTGAACTGACTGATACCGGTCTGAAGGTTCTGGAATTAATCGATTCGAATGAAGACCGATCAGCATCTGCTAGACAATGCATAAAGAAGGCGATTTCTTGCCACAAAAATTTTCGAGAGCAAATAACCTTATTCCGCCTGATTATACTGCTGAATTTCTTAAAATCATCCTCTAAATAGAAAGTTTTATGTTTATTTTATTTCACTTTGTGTGCAATTTTGCATTAAAAACGTTATAATTCACCCACAGTTGTTGCATTTTTACTGATCGAATTGACGCTCAAGAATCAATTATTTCGCTTTAGTATGGAATTGTATGAACATCTCTTTTCCATCTCGATTTTCGCCATTTCCACTTATATCTCCCACGGTTGAACCACTTGTGATGTAACTTGGAGTATTACGTACTCGTCTGAGACGTGCCGCAAATATTTTTTCAGATTGCAATGGACGTTAAAGTTAGAAATTGATCTTTAAACTTAGTTCTTCCAGAAAATAGGAAGCCAACTGCCAAAGTACAAAAACGGCTAGATTAAACGTCAGATTGCTATTTCCTGCTCCAGAGAAAAGAATTGAAGAACGCGTTAGAGATAGCTAACTATTGCATAGGAATCTGCACCAGCTACTAGCCTGAGACATCTGCCTGAAACGGTCCGTTAAGACAGTAGGCACGACGATAGTCCTGAAGATAAAATGGTGGAAGCTCGAGAGAATGCTGAAAGAATTGTTCAAAGAGGAGTTACTTGACGAATGATAAAGGAAGAAGAATGCGTGAGTGAACGAAATGACGATCATAATTATAGGCAATGCCGGAGGTCTAGTCTAATAAGCGAAAAGGACAATAAATATCTACAAAGAAATGTGGTTGAA